AATACAGGAAATACTGAACCACTTACAGAGATTTTAAAGCAAGTCCAGATGCTTCACAATGTCAGGGAAATAAGTTTAATTCTTACAATTTACATTATCTCTCCCCCTCCACGGTTTCACTCCAGCCCTTGTCTATTTGTTGCCTCATTTAACACATCAAAATGTGGAACAAAAGCAGTGCAACTCCAGGAGCAGGGCTGAGCCAGGACCTGAGGAGGATCCCAGCACAGACCCAAGCAGAACAGCATGCCCCAAGATCCAAGCACGGCACAGAACACCAGTTACAAGCAACAAAATCCATCCATTACCTCAAATGTAGCAAGGGGATGAACCACGTGCAGGAACTGTTCCAACAGGAGGTAAAGCTGCAATACAGGCACTAAAAACAGTCCTAAAGACCAGCACAGCTTAAACCAGCACACAGCCCTCGAGCCTGAGCTTAAATGGGGCCCAAGGACCTATGGGAAGGGGTGTGGGCAGGGCCCCAGCTGAGGCTGGTCAGGACCAAGGAGTGTATCAGTGCCCTCAGGTGTAGCTGCTTCTAAAAAGAGAATTCTCTGGGATAGCCAGGCATTGTGTAATGACCAGGCATTGTGAGTACATAGACCCAAAAGGTTCTTTTTATCCAGGGAGACAGGCTTGAGGCATGTAGGGAGAAGTTCAGTCTGTGGTGGGCTGCAGCTTCCAATGTGTTTTTTTAAAATGCAGTTGAGTAGGAAAATGCTGTTTACATGGTTCTTTATATCTATTGCAATGGCTTTTAACATTAGGTGTGGGGTTGGGTTGTTTTTGTTTCAGTTTGGTTTACGTTTGTTTGGGAGGTTTGTTTTGGGGGGTTTGTTTGGTTTGGTTTCTGTCAGGTTTTGATTTTTTGGCTTATTCACCTACTACGGTGATTTCTGCCTTTCCTTGAGCCTGGGTTAGCAGATAATACTCTTCATTTTTTGACCTTGTAATTCTAAGATTCTCTACCTAGTCAAGCAGACTTCATGAAGCTCAAAGTAGTGGTTGGATTTCTTTGTTTTTAAGCCCATTCTGTAACATACCTTCTTTCTATTTATAGAAGATTCTGGTCATTACTCTGCTGATGAGCAAACAGAGCCTTTAGAAGTGATTTGTGCTTTTAACAGGGACCCTTAGAAAATAAGAATAGAATGTAAAAATGCAGATTGGTGCTGCAGTAGCCCCAAGGGAAGCATTACACCTTTTTTACAGTCCCCAAGCATTACTGAGATTTAATATTCCGTTTGACATTTGTGTTAAGGAGTAATGCTGACCCCAAAAGAAATTCTGGGCATAAAATTCACAACCCTCCTTAGGGAGAAGTAACCAGTTCCTGTTACCAGCCAAAAAAAGTTGTTGTAATTGTCTGGCCTTTTGTTCACAGCACAGATTTTTACTGGGAAATAACTGAACCACAAGTAGCAGCAAATGGTAGGCAGAGAGCTAAGAGGACTTACAGAACTGTCTGTTACATTTCCAAATGACAGCCCTCTGTTTTAGGGAATGACAGCAGAGCTCTTTTCTTAGGGTGTGGTGGGACTTGCCTGACTCCCTGCACATTCTTATGGCTTTTTTTTTTATTATTCTTTGTGCAACAGAAATCACATTGTTGCATTTAAGAAATTGTGAGGGAGGGGGTGGTCGGTAACATAAAAATATTTGTTACTGTTTTCTAAACTGCAACAAAGTATTTTTTCCTACTGTCTCAGTGATGCATGGAATTCAGCTCCTTCAAAAATTGTGTGACAGGAGGATCAGGAGTGCTGCTGGAAGCTGTGCTTTAGCAGGACACATTTCTTGCACATGGATCTGAATTTAGATCAAAACGAAACAGGTCATTTTCAGTTCTGTCCTAAAAGTTTGCCAGAAGTATAGTTCTCTATGAGGCCAAATCAGAAAGTGATTTTCCTGTCATTGTGGCCAAGGCTCTGCCAGTGTTACAAGTGCAAATGTCTGCTCAGCCACTCAATGTGGCTTGTTTGAAAATGCCTTTGGCTTCAGTTGCCTCCAGGTTTGGTGGTTTTCTTACCTTAATGTGTCTCCAAGACAGAAGCAAAATGTCTGCCCATGGGGTTTTAGGCATTACCTGAGAAGGTTGTCATTGTCTTATGCTTTCCCATTTTTCCTATTCATTTATCATGGGAAAATTCACAGAAATAGGAGAATAAAGTGTAAAATAGCAGCTTAAAGAACACCCATCACTCGTGCTACCGAGGCACTTGGATCTAAAGCTGTTCTGCTGGGCGAGGCCCAGGAATACGAATTCCACCCTTTCCCAGTGTTTTGAGCAGTGGCACAGTAACATTCCCACTGGGAAAGAGAGTTGTGACATGAGCTGTAATTAGAATGCAGTGTGCCAAATGGTACACTTGGTTCAGGGACAGAGCTGCCTGGGAGTGACTGGAGAGCCACAGAACTAGAATGAAAGGCTTGGATCCACCATCTCCTCACCAGAGACAGGTGGGTCTAAAACCAAAGTCTGGCTTAGGCAGCTCCTGCTTGGCACATCTGTGCAAACTGCCCCACACCTTAAGTGTGTGCCAACAGCAGCTTAGCAAGGCTCTGGGTCCCTGGGAATTACTCCTCAGTAACTGGGATATAAGGAACTACACACCATTTGCAAAGAAAAAGGACATGGCTCTTAATCATCTGATACAGATGGGAAAAAAAGAAGATATTTGAGGATATGTAAACCTTTAAAAGTGCATGATATATTTCACATTTCTTTCAAGGGGAAATGCATCCATACTTAAGAGCTTATGGATGAAGCTGGAGGACCAGGAACACTGTTGCCACGCAGAAAGCTACACGGTGGCTGGAATATTTCAGCAATAAAAATGAACTTTCAGGACAGGGCTCTGCTGGAATAAGCCATGTAAGACTATGTATTTATGTCCTTTAGATTGTTACCACACATAATCCACTTATTATAACTGGTTTACGTTGTCCACTCGTGGAGCTGAACAGCACTGAACAGCTAAAGGATGGCAAATGCGGCTCTGAGCGCTCACCAGCTTAACATATTCCACATAAAACCTGCTATTTCTGGATATCTGCTAATGCATTCTTTGGCAAAAGGGGAGCTCTGAAAGAAACTTTTACATAAGCCCCATCAGCAGCCCACACTTCAGAGAAATACCCACCCTCTCTTGTTTTAATTCTTTCTTTCAAAAGAAAAACCTTAACTTGACTTTGTGCCTGACACCCTTGTGTTCTGGGGCTCTGCACAGAAAACCCTGAGGGAAAATCAATTCTTTGCACTGATCACCTTAATTACCAAACCACACGTCTGAAAGTTGCACCGGGCTTAAATATTTATGGGCACTTTGGAAGTTGCATTTAATCACTGGTGGGTGACTGTATATTTGAAGATTTCTGTGGCCTTGGCAAACAAAACACGAGAATTTCAGCTTCCTCAAAGCTTGAGTAGCCTTTTCTGGCAGAGAGTTTGCAACCTTCTTTTCATATGGCCCAGCAATGAGATCTATACACCACCTCTCCTTGGAGCAGAGATATTTCTCTGACCACATAAATTCCTATGAAATGTAAGCACGTTCCATTTCATAGGAATGCTGCAGAGACAATCCAGCCTGGTAATAAAATCACCTCTGTTCAGTTGGCTCTTCATTCACCTGCATTTTTTGGTTATGTAAAAGGTATTGTCAGGGCCAAGAATTCTGAACTCAGAACAGAAAACTTTTTGGATTGATTCCAATTTTCACCCGAGTAACTAATCTCTCATAAAATCACCCCACTGATTTTAGGCTGTAGCTGAAAGGGATCTTTTTCCTAAAATTCCAGGAACAATTTGAGATCATTGTCCAAAGAACAAATGGCCTGAAGTGTCTATTGGACACTAGTGATGCAAGATAAGTGATGAGTTAAAACTCAGATCGTATCGCATGTAATTCTTCTTTCGAGCAGCTTATTTTCAACTGTCTCTGGGAAAAGGAGAAAAAGGAGAATTACAGTGGCAAATTCAAGGCAATTCCAGTGCCTTGCAATGTCTCGTGTAATTTTTACCTCTTTTAAATCATTGTCAGGAAAAAAAATAAAAGAAATCTGATTTGCCCTTGCTCCACCTAATGCACAGGTCAATGGGAAAGGAACGGGAAAACTGCTTAAACAGGAGGGCCAGGATAAGGATTTTATACTTGTTTTGAAACACTGAAGGAGATGAACATTACTTTGTTAAAATCTGGAAATTTTTAGAGAAGACTGTCCCCACAAGAGCCTCAGGAGTACTGGCATCTGTGTCAAGCCAGAATGCCTATTAAGATGGGGGCCAGAAATATTATTTTTCACTGCTTTTAGATGAAGACATATTTTCTTAGTGTGGGAAAGAATGACTACAAATTCTGAAAAGGTGATGCTGCAAAAACAGCAATAAATTGGAAAATATTTACTGTATATTCTGCTGCTTTCAGCCAAAGTCACTCATCTCAGCGCTAAATTTAGGTTGATAAATAAAGATATTCACAAAGGTTGGGGTTTTTGGAAGCTTGGCTTGAGAACTACACACAGTGGCATCTGGATTTACGGCTCTGCTGCAATATGTCTTTGGGACATTAAAGCAAGAACTTGGCTTCTGACAGGACAGTTTTCATTTTCTCAAACTGGCCATATTTTCAGGTGAGCTTTTACTCTTTCTGCAGCAAATCTTGGAGTGTTGAGACCTTTAGAATTACAGCACCTATTTGGTGTGTTTATGAGTGTGCAGTTGCTCCTCTGCTGCAGAACATCTGTGGGGTTGGCCTGGGTTTATATCTGTGCCTTTGGGCAGCCTGTTCCACAGGCAGCACTAGGAGCAGGTTTAAAATGGGTTTGACATTCCTGCAGGGAGCTGTTAGTGAGACTGGGACACTGCCTGGAACAGGAAAAGCACTGGCTGTGCTCACAGATACTCAATTCTTGTGCAGTCCCTGCTGAAGTCAACAGGAGATCTCCAGGCCTTTACATGCTTTAACACAGTTTGATTCACTTCTTTACACCAGAAAGGAGTTGAAAAGGGCTTATTTTTGAAAAAAGAAGTCACTGATGGTAAAAGTCCTGTATAAATAACTCCCTGTGCCATACCTAACAAATCTTAGCTGTGTGATTAAGGCCTGAATTTTGGATTCCTGTATTGTGTAAGGAAGAATAACCCTTTTTTTTGAATAGCACTCACTCAGAATTACTCTGTCAATGACAAGTTGCACTGTAAGTCATGCCCTGGGCACACCCTCACAAGTGGTAGAAGGGAACCAGGATCCCAGTGGAGAGGAATTCTGGCCACAAACAGCAACATGGAAAAGAGCAGAATTTGGCCACAGCTGTTTGCATTGGATTTACTGCCTGATGAGCCCAGCCAGCTTGAGCTTGCATCATAATCTAAGAAAAAACCTAATAATACCTTTCCATCTAACTCAGCCCCATATATCAGGCTCTGGAGGTGTCAGGACTAAAAAGAGAACTGTACTTCTGTCTTGGAGATATTTTTACTGCTGAGAAAGATATACTGCAAGCAACAGTTCCCTACACAGCAGTTCTCCTTTCTCTTTTCCACTTAAAAAAAAAAGAAAAAAGTAAGAAAAATAAGTCAAGCAATAAAAATTCATGTTTCACGTCGGATCTGATGCGCTCAAACTTGAAATCTTGTTCTCCTATCTCCTGCAAGATCTTTTAAATTCTGAAGAGGCTTGACAGGCAGAAAATGAACAGATGCACAGTAGAGGTGGGAGATGATCTTGTAGGAGGTCTGTGCTTGCCTTCTGCAAAGATAAGGAAGCGGAGGCATTCCTGAATGCTGGAGTGCTGTGTGGGGAGAGGGAGCCCCCAGCATGCACCTCTTGGCAGGGCTGGATATTACATAAGGCTTGCAAATGAATTCCTGTCCCTCTCTTTGGTACCTTGGAAGAGAATGAAGATCCCAAATAAAGACACAAGCAGCCCTTCAGGTTCCACGTCTCCTTCCTCGTGTCCCAGCTCCCCTGCTGAGCAGTCACCTTTCCAAAGGCAGCAAGCTGTTCCTCCAGCTCCCACACAGGCATTCCTGCTTCCTGGACAAGGGATCCCTGCTCCCTGTGGGTTGTGGATACCTCTGGCTGCAGGAAGTACACTGGGCACTGTTGTACTCTGGCGTGCTTCTGTTTTAGGCTTTGTGTGACAAACTGCACTTCGGTAGCCAAGTGTCTTCTGTACTCGGATAAAAGATGAAAAAGCAGATTTTTTAATATTATTTAATAATGCAAGATCAAGGACAGCCATTCAGGAAGGTAGGGAGGAACTGCACATTACTATAAGAAGCAAAAACAAGTGAATGGTGGGATTTTTTGATAATAAGGTACATTTTCCAATGCTGAATACCTTTGATAACTTGTCTCCAAATCACAAAGCCTGACAGGACAACCAGTTGTTCACATTTCTGCAGGATAACAGAGCCCAAAGTTAGTCAGAGATGTTCTTGAAAGCCACATTCAACTGGAAGGATTATGGGTACAGTGCCCTGTAAATATGATTTCCTCTTCTCATTACATACCTACCTTTTGGTGAGTAGCCATTAGATTCACACTAACATCACTCATAGGAACAAGAAAGCTCTTTAAATATTTCTTTTAATATTCCAAGGAATTTTTTTAGTCTTATTTTTGAAGGAGAGATATGAACATTCCTGGTCAGTCTTGTATAAAACCTTTGGTTAATTTTAATTAGATAGCAAAGGCAGAGCCGTGGTGACTTCCCAACAGTTACAGTGTTGTTGTGTTTTTACAGATTTATCTATTCTAAACTAAACCATTTGCCTTGAATACAACGAGCTTTATGGTTAATAAATCCATGTTAGAAACTGCAGGGAATACTTATTTTGGCCACATGTTGTTTACTCTCTACTTCATTATTTGTTTGAAACTATAAACCTCTTTTAGCTTTCACGTCATAAAAAATATATTGGAACTGTTATTTTGTTAGGCAAGTGTACAAATTTAAATAAAATCAGAAATATAAAATTATTACTCTCTGTGTTATAAAAAAACTTCTTATTTCCTAGTTTTGCAAACAATCCATCGAGAACAGATTCCAAAAGCCTAGGAGGGTAGTTCTGGAAATCCAGTATAGAACTGCAAAAAAAATTACATGGATGGTGATATTAAGTGTATTTTAGGGAAATGAGTGTTACAGTAATTTATTCTGCTCTAGGCAGTGCCATGAATCCATCATGGCACAAAGTGAAAGAAAACACGTCGGGAATGCTGGAATACCTTTCTTTACCAAGAGAAACCCACACAAAACAACAACAGGACAACATTCAGTATAGTAGAAAATAAACCTAATAGAAACAAATTACAGAAGGAATTTTCTAACTACACCTTCTATACCACACAACTAAAACCACTAAGTTTTTAACTGCCTTCATTTTTCCACGAGAAAGCCACGTGATCAGGAGGCAAAATCTTGGTTCAGTGAACACAGAATGACCCAGTCCAACCTCCCCACACAGAAAATAGTTGTAGAACACAAGGCCCAGTCTTCCTCAGGTCCCTCAAGAGAAGCAGTGGAATTACTGATGGGGAAGTCTAGGAAACAATGGATTTTGGTGCACCAAGGTAAATTATCATCCAGCACAGGAATATTTGTGCCATGGGTGCCTGCAGCGTCACAGAACAAGAGAAAGACACGTTGGCATCTCCATCCTATAATTGACCTTTACATTTTATAGTCAAGATTAAAACATGGAATTGAACTAACCTTTCTTTTTTTCTTTTTCTCCAAATTCTATCCAAAACTTATCTCATATTCACGGATACACTTCCAGCTGTGGAAACCTAAAGTGACAGCTTGATTCCTGAACCTTTTCTTTAACAGCAGTGGGATTATGGAAGTTGGACAACTACAGCTCTCCAGGTCTGTGCAAAACCAGCAGAGCAACACACACATAGAAGCTGAAGAAGTACAGATTTAACAGAAGCCAAATGAAGCTAAAGGAGAGTAACTTCTGTAAGTTTTGGTAATTGAAGCAATCACAGGAGTAATAAAAAGTCTGGCTCAGACACTTGTCTTCTCTAACTGGCCCTTCCTTGCTTTCTCTTTCTATCCTTTTCCTGTTTCATGCTCCTGATCAGGTTCAAATGAGACGTACCTTCTTCCATCTTTGCAAGCCTGACCTACTTCCCAGGGATTAGCAGCACCATGTCATGTCTCCCCTGTTCCAGGAATGCTCTGTTCTCTTTTAGGAATGAAACCAACTCTGGTTCGTCCCTGAGCAGCTTTGCCTGAAATGCAAACCTCCTCTGTGTTGAACGTGGCTAGAAATTACTCAAAAATTACTTGTAAAGTCCTTTACTCTTTTTATTATCAAGTCTTTCTTCCCTTGTTATTTTGAATTTACGTTTATCTGGAGCCATCATTTTCCATGTTCCTCCTCAGCCCTTTCATGGAGCTCTGTTTTGCCACCCCATTCATTCCCATGTTCTTGAACGATGCAAATATAATTATTCACCACCCTGCACCACCCCACAATAAAATGTTCCTCAGCCTTCCCTTTTGCACAGCGTTGTCACGTAGATTCTCTTAATTTGGCTCCACCAGATCTCAAACCTGTCTCTGTTTTGGCCAATCACTTTTTTTTTTTCCTTCCTCCAAAGAATCTATAGAAAAACTAACATTTCTCTCAGGTTTCTCCAGTTCTTACTAGCAGCAGAAAAAAAGTGCTTTCTGTATTATCTCCTCACAAAGCAGCTTCAGCCACGTGTGTGTCTTCTCGAATAATTGCTACTGCTGTATTTCTTTCCTTTCCCTAAATATCTCAGGTCTAAACATTGTTAAAACACCACATCCAGTTTTCAAACTGTCCACTCAGGAAGGGCACTGATAAATTAGAGGGTTTTGTTTTGTTTTTTACAGACCACGGGAATATTTAAAGGATTAGAAAACTTGTAATAAAGAGACTTTGAGTTCAGTGTATGTGTATCACATGGAAAATATGTGTTCTGAGAGGCTCTCACTTACTTAATCCTCAGCTGGCATTAACTGCAGTGGCAAGAAGCTCACAGCACAGAAAGGCAGGGATGTCTGTCAGCAGATCTCTGGCAATGGCAGGTACTGTTGGAACACCTAGTGAGGAGAAAATATCACTGAGTCATTGGGAGAGGCCTCATGACTCCTGAGAAGCAGCAAAAGAGGAAAAACCACCGTAATTGTTTCATTTCTGCGTAGCGTGAGCGGTGCTATGGGCACCTTCTGCTTCTGTTCCCAAACACACCGAGATCGCTCCAGCGTCAGTAAATCAAGGTCAGAGCAATACTCAGGCTTTAAGGAATGGTTCCATCGAGCCCAGATTCCTATGGGGAAATATGGGAGTGATGCAAAGGAGCCGCATAAGATAAATTGTTGAAGTGGAATAAAATCCAGAGGTGTAAGTCCTACTGCTTACTGAGGGGGAGGAGGGGGGAAGAAAGGTAGAAATGCTTTAGCAACAGCTTATCAACTTCTTTTTTTTTTTTTTGCAGTAAATGGTAGAAAATCTTTCATCATAAGTTACTTCCAAGCCAGGATAATCTCCAGCCAAATAAGAATTTCCATATTGGACAAGAAGGAGGCAGCCCAGACCTGTACAATGACGTCTTCTTGTTTTCTTTTTCTGGTCTATTTACCAGGCTAACTAAGGAAGTCGATTGTCTTAATTTCCACTAATTGAGGGTGCAATCATTCCATTCAAGGGCAGGGCTGCTGTTCAGAGGGACCTGGACAAGCCAAAGGGATGGGGCTGACAGGAATCTCACTGAATTCAAGGGAAAACACGGAATTATGTGTCTAGGATGGGGTAGACAATGCATTGGGATGGACAGGCTGCCTGCCTGGGGCAGAGCAGCGACAGGACGAGGAGTAATGGCTATAAACTAAAACAAAAGTTTCACCTCAACATGAGGAAGAACTTTACCTTGAGGGTGGCAGAGCACTGGAACAGCTGCCCAGGCAGGGCGTGGAGTCTCCCTCTCTGGAGACATTCCAAACCCACCCGGGCAAGCTCCTGTGTCACCTGCTCCAGGTGACCCTGCCTCGGACTGGATGGTCTCCAAAGGTCCCTTCCAACTCGAACTCTTCTGAGACGCCGGGATTCCGTGACAATCCCTCCTGGCCCTGGGGAACACTTGTTTTACCGTGATCCCACAGCACACCCCGACCGCGCTGGCGCCTCACAGCCTTTTAACCAGCTCTCACCACACGGCACCGCGAACGGGCCTCCTCATTATGGGCGCCCCAATACGAAGAGGGGGATCACAAAACCTGACCGAGCGACCTGGCAGCCACCGCAGCGCTGGGGCCGGAGAGCTTTGCCCGGTGGCCATGCTCGGAGCGGGACATCGGGGTTGAAGCCTTCCCCGAGGTCCGTGGCACGGGACGCTTCGCCCGTGAGGGGAACGGGCCCCTTTCCCGTGAGGGGCAGGAGGCTTTGCCCGTGAAGGGAAGGGATGCTTCGCCCGTGAGTGCAGAGCGGCTTTGCCCGTGAGGGGAAGGGGCGCCTTTCCCGTGAGGGGCAGGAGGCTTCGCCCGTGAGGAGAAGGCGGCTTTGCCCCTGAGGGGAAGGGGCGCCTTTCCCAGGAAGGGGAGGGGAGCTTTTCCCGTGAGAGGACAGCGCCTTCTCCCGCGAGGGGAAGGTGGCCTTTGCCCGTGAGGGGAGGGCGGTCCCCGGGCGGAGCCGCCCTGGAGGAGCCGCCCCCGCCCGGCGCAGGCGCCGCCCCCGCGGCGGCCGCTCGCGCCCGCACTTCCTGAGGGCGGGAGGCCGGGCCGAACATGGCGCCGGGCCGGTGGCGCCGGGGGTGGCGGCTGCTCAGCGCCCTGCTCCTCGCGGCGCTGCTGGGTCCCGCCGCCGTCGTGTCCTCCTTCTCTTCCTTCTCCTCCTCCAGCCCCGGCGAGCCGCGGAGCCCCGTGCGAGTGCTGTGCGGCTCCAACTGGAGCCTGGTGTTGCAGGGCCAGTGGATGCTGGAGTTGTGAGTAGCGGCCGCTTTCCCGCCCGCCTCGGAGGCAGCGTGTGCTGGGGGGGGCGAGGGGAGCTCCCGGTGAGGGGCTCCCGCTGAAGGGCGGGTGCGGCCGGTGCCTCCTGTCCCGCAGTGGGGAGGAGGAGGCCGGGCACTGCCGGCCTTCCCATGCCCTGGAGGGGCCGCGCAGCTCCCCCGCCCGGGCACGGCGTGAGGGAGGCGGCGGTGCCCGCGGTCCCCCCTGCCCGCCCTGAGCCTGCCGGGCCCTCGCTGCCCTCGGCTGGGGTGACCCGACAGAAGCAGCTGCCCCTCAGGTTCTCCTCCTGTGTGGGCACAGAGGGACCAAGGTTACACGGGCCACTCCTTTCTGGGGAATGAAGGACACTGAATGAAGGACGTGGACCTGTTGGAGCGAGTCCAGAGGAGGCCACCAAATTTATCAGAGGGATGCAGCACCTCTCCCGTGAGGAAAGGCTGAGAGAGCTGGGCTTGCTCTGCCTGGGAAAGAGAAGGCTTTGGGGTTACCTCATTGCAGCCTTCCAGTACCTGAAGGGAACTGGGAGGCAAGATGGGGCAAGACTGTGTACAAGGGCACATGGTGACAGGATAAGGAGGAATGGCTTCCAACTGAGAGTACGCTCAGATTAGATATTAGAAAAATATACTGTGGGGATGTCGAGGCCCTAAGACAGGTTACCCAGGGACGTTGTGGATGCTCCATCCCTGGAAGTGTTTAAGGCCGGTTTGGATGGGGCTTTGAGCGACCTGGTCTAGTGGAAGGTGTCCCTGCTCATGACAGAGTTGGAAGTGGATTATCTCCAAGGCCCCTTTCCAACCCAGACCACTCTGTGATTCTGTGAAGCAGCTGGCCCTCGGGTTCTTGTCCAAGTGCCCAAGGTTAAACGGGATCATTCCACCCAGCTCCCTGCTGGGGAATAGTGTCAGGTGCTGCTCCTGGCCCTGCTACCCCATCTGGGGCTGTCGCTGGGTTCTGTGCGAGCTCTAGGAGGGCTGAATTCCATAGGGAATACTTAGCAGGAGTAGGCTTCCAAAGCAGCGTTACATAATATCCCAGCACACCCTCACTCCAAACCTTGAGTTCTGGAGTTCTCCTTCAAGGGAGATCCTTCAGGTTTCATTAACATTCCAGTGCTGCTGTTTCCAGTCCTGGTGACATCAAGAGAGGTTTGTCTGTTTGGAGTTTTAAGACATGACACAGTTCTTGAAGTTCACCCGGTGTTTTGTTCTTGGAGCCTCGCTCACCTGCTTGTATTTAGGAGGGGTAGGAGCTTGAGGGGTTTTTTTTAAGACAGCAATGAATAAAAAAGTAGTTTAAGTAGGCAGTAAACTCACGTGGTGCCTGTGGGCTGTGCAGCTATGAAGCAGGATTTTATTGTGGTGTGTGTGCTGCTTTGTGGAGGTGCTTAAGTTTGAAACAGGTTGAACAGCTGAACTCATGCTCCAGCACAAATACCTGCTCAGCTGCCTAAAGTTTTGCTTTACTGTTGAATTTGAGATATCTCCAAATATCTCTTGTTAGTCTCTGATTAGGGGGAGGGACTATCACTTCCCTTAGGGCTTTACTGCTCAGGATCCTACTGGACACCTGGTGTTAATCAATGACTAGGTGGGCACAATCCTGAAATAGCTGGCTGAGAGACCCGGGGGTGCCCACTGTGGTGGCTCAGGATTTGGATTTGATTTTGAGTCTCTTTCTTTCCCTTTTCATTTATTGTGATCTAAAAGGTGGGGAAAGAGAGAACCTCAAAGTGGGAGAAAATAAATTTATTTTTTCAATTGAAATCTTTTCACTTGGTACATCTTAGTCACATGTGGAAGCAACTGTATGGAAGTTACTGATTCATGTGTGTGTTGGTGAGTTTTAAGAAGGAAAAAGGTTATTTGTGGCAACTACAAGTTTTTATTTCTAGTACAAAATACTTCAATAATTAGTGATGTATGCCTTTGAGAAAGAAAAAAAGAGGAACTAACTGAAATCAGAAGTGCTTGGGATAGCAAGCAGTTAAAATCCTTTGCAAGTCTAAATTCCACTTGCAACATTCCCCTCTGGCTTGGAGTGACAGGCACTGACAATAGCAGGGTCAGCTTTAGTGCTGGCAGAGTGTGGAACATGTTGCTGCATTGCTTAAATTAGACTTTATTTAATTTTCTGTGCAGTGTGTGATGTGTGAAAGATCCTCACTTCTCTGTGCTTCTTTCTGTCGTGCACTTCTAGTGCTTTCTGTTTTTTTTTTTTTACTGAGGAGGGATCTTTGTCTTCATTGAGTATTGAAACTCGGTGCCGGTGTTGTTGAATTAGGGAGAGTTTGACATTTCCAATCGTGTCTAATCAGGAGTTTGAGATCTAGCATTGATTTTTTTGTTTTCACTGTTCTTGCAGCAGTTCTCGTGCTGATGGATTTTGGTTCCTGGTGGTTTTTATCCGGTTCAGAGCTGGTGATCCCAGCCAGGAGTCCTGCCTGTCAGTCCATTGATTCCTCCCGTGCTGTGTGGTGGGTCTGTTGGCAGGACTGCAATAAAGCTCATTAAAACCTCATTTGTTAGAAGAACCTCCTGTTTCTTTACAAGACCGTTGTTTTCCAAGCAGCACTTATTTTAATTAATGCAAATGTTGTTATAGGATCTCTGTGAAAAAAAATACTTATTTTGGTCACCTGCTCTTGAAGCCTTTTGCCATGGTGAGGAACAGGTACTGCTGCTGTTTAATGTCAGTTTTTCTGGAAAATTACTCTGAAATTCTAATTTTTATTGTTCCCACGTGCACAACTAGAGAAACTTAAGTTTGAAATTACTTGTGTGTGGGACCTGTGGTGGAAATAGTATTTTTTCCCTCCATCCCTTGTAGCTGAAGTGTGTGTACTTGGCTGACTTGTTGTAAATATTCGGTTATTCAGAGCTGGCAAAATTGCAGGCCCTGGAAGTGCCGCTGCAGTTCATTGATAAAAATGTTCTGGATAAAGTGTCTCTGCAAGACATTGCAACACTTTTTGCCTCCTCTAACTATCGCAGCACACAGGTCCTCACTGGAGGGCTGCAAATTTGCTGCCGGGATGAGCCGTGTAACAAAGTTTCCTTATTTCCTTATCTCCGGTCTGTGGGAGCAAGATAATGATTCATTAACGCCCGGAGTTTTCTTTTTGTCTTGAATATTGTGCCTGTTCGGAATGTAGGGAGCTAATTTCTGCTCTGCTTATTTTGTGTTTGTAAACATAACTTGTTCCAAGCTCGATTTATCTTAATTTAACGTTCTCTTTTTTTTGAAGTAAATTAAAACAAGCAGACAAAAAAAAAACCCACCATCAATGAACTTGATCTCTTCTCTGAGTACAAAAGGAACTATTTACACTTTTGTTGCATCTGCAGTACTTTAGGTACTTGTTTCTACACCAGCTGCTAAATGTTTTGCTTCCCCTTTGTTTCAGCACCTGAAAAAGAATGTCTTAATTTTCTATTTTAATTCTGAAAATCAGTGTAATAGTCACGTTTCTAAGGCTAGCTTATTACAGAAAAGGTCCATACTTTCTTTTCTCCTTGTCATATATCATTAAATATTGCCCTGCTGTCTCCTAGGCCAGATAATCACAAGGGTTCAGTCCTCCCACCAGCACTTTTGGCTGCAGTTCCAAGGCAGGGTGCTAAAAATGTAGCTGAATGTTTTGGTGTTTAGATGGTTTAATGTTTTTAATCGGCTGGCTTGAAACACTTTTTGTAAATAAACTCCTGAAGGATTTAATAAATTATTTAACGATTGCTGTAGCTTAGATGGAAAGTTCAATAAGATTGGGAATTTTCTGTCATTAGGAGTTTAGTCTCTTATTTCTTGCTAGTATCCAAGATTTTCTTTGTCCTGTTCTTAAAAAAACTCCAAGCACTAAACAACCCAATAAAACCCAAAAAGCAGGGAGAATGAAAGTCAAGTTCTCAAAACTGATAAAATATGAAGCAGAAATATTCTTGTAGCAGATGCTTAGGGGACATAAAACCATGGAGAGTGATGGAACTTAATCTGCTGAAGCTCTAGGATATTTACTTAATTTTTCAGTGATTGGTTTGCTTTATATTTTAAAGATGATTTCTCCTTCTTAAACAAAAAACACTTGTGAATGGAAAGTTGTTGAGGGTCCCTTTTTTTAATTGCTGATGATAGTCCAAAAAGAAAAAAAAAAATCTTAATTTTCTATTTTAATTCTAGCCAGGTGAAAATAGTGAGAACAGTGGAAGTAATAACAAACCTCCTTTGTTTGCTCTGTGAGGGAGCTCGGACTTGGGCAATTTGTAAAAAAAACAAAAACCCAAACAAACAAAAACCTTGTTTAACTTTGGCAGAGCAGCTGGGTTTGGGTTGGGAGGTCTCCCCTGCCTGGTTTGGAGGGGTTTGGCACATTGCAGGAAGCTCCTTGTTCTCTTCCAGAGCATGTGCTGCTGTGATACAGATCTCAGTAAATGACAGGGAGCAACTTGTGTATCTTTGGCTTCCACCTGCTCACTTGAAAAGTCAACTAAAACCATGTCGTTGATCTTCTGAAGCTTCTCTTTTGTTGCAATTACAAAGCTGCCTCTCCTCCCTCAAGACCTATCTGTATTTAGGGACTGTCTTTTCTTTTTGTGTGCTTGTGAAATCTGTAGCAAATAAGGCAAAACTACTTAAAAGAATAAAAGTAATAA